ATTTTGCAGTTCGATATAGTAGCCTGCTCATGGCGGAACTTAGATTTATAGTAGCGCTCTTTATGTATCCATAACTGAGTTGTGAAAAAAGTAGGCGTTACAGAGAGACGTAAACATCAAGTATCCCCTTTCGAAGTTTCAAGAGAATAGATAAAAGGTCCGTAAATCAAATTTGCTTCAGCTGCCAAATTCACAGACATATAACGGTTTAATTGTATCTCTCTCCTTTTATTTTCCACGCTTATCATCTTCATATGAAGTTCAGACATGATATCAAACCCAGAGTTGTAAGGTATATTTTTATGTCAATAATATTAATGTCTCTAATTTAAAAATAATGTTTTCACCTAGCTTGTGAATGGTTTATTACTACATTGCACAAACGCATCAATTCCTGGTTTTGTGGTCGTCAACTTTTAGAAAAACACTTCAAATTGATCTTGATTTTCAGAATTTCTGTTACTTTCTACTGAATTTTTCGAATTCTGAATATTAAACTGAGACAATAAATATGTAAATACAAATTCCGGTTTCCTCATTCCAATACAATGAAACCATCTCGACAGAGCCGAGTAAGTGTCATTGTACTGCACCTTAGGGTTCATTATTCCTTTTGTTCATTTAAGAAACTTCGAAAAGTGTTTTCATCCCTAATATACCAATACCAATGCTGAATACAGCAATATGTCGCCAAACACACAATACCCATGCTCCACACAGCGATATGTCGTCCCACACACAATACCCATGCTGAATACAGCAATATGTCGCCAAACACACAATACCCATGCTCCACACAGCGATATGTCGTCCCACACACAATACCCATGCTGAATACAGCAATATGTCGCCAAACACACAATACCCATGCTTGAAACAACGATATGTCGTCCCACACATAATACAAATGCTTGACACAGCGATATGTCGCCAAACACACAATACCCATACTTGACACAGCGATTTGTCGTCCCACACATAATACCAATACCAATGCTTAATACAGCAATATGTCATTCACCACATAATACCCATACTTCACACAGCGACATGTCCCGCACGAAGTAATATGTCATCCCTTTCAGAATGCCCATGTATTCTACAGCGATATGACGTTCCTCACAGAATACCCATTCTTTACACAGCAATATGTCGTCCCTCACAGAATACCTAAGCTTTACACTGTGATATGTCATTCACCACAGAATTATCATTCCTCACACAGCAATATGTCGTCAAACACACACAATATCCATGCTTCACACACCGATATGTCGCCCCCAACACACAATACCCATGCTTCACACAGAGGTACGTCGTCTCTCACAGGGAACCTGTGTCCAGACTTCTTCACCTGCGTGCACCCGGCGCTGTATTATATCTATATTTGGGCTTGGCAGTATCTGTTCCGACGAAGCTACGTTGAAGCGATACTACCGCTGTGAATGTGATTAATTTCCCATAAATTTAAACTGTCATGGGTAATAAATGTCTTATTTTGAAACGTATCAAGTGTAGAACAATTTACTAAACTCTGATATTGGTGCACCATAAAGCAAGTATAAATGAAAAATGAATACTTCTGGTTCATCTCTAATGGCCCGCCAGTAATTCATCTCCTATTTTCTCCCTGATCTCGTGAATCAAATAATTCAAATACACACACACACACACACACACACCGGACATATTTCTTGTACTTATTTTTGTGATACGATAATGAAGTCACACAGGAAGACAACTGAATACAGATACAGGAACTTTTGTTGTTGTTTCTACTGCAGAGCTGTTAGTGTGGTTATCAACTGACAAGTACGTGGAACTGAATATATTACAAGAAATACAAAATATTTCAAACAGTAGCTGACGAGGCTCGGGGTCATGACATAGACGCATTCATGTATTATCCGCTTATGATGCGAGTATGTTATTGAAGTTTGTGCCACATCAAGATGCATCACTCGAGACAAAATATTAACGACGTCACATAAAATCATTTGATGAAAAGAGGAGGCGATTTTTTTAACTAGTGGATATGACGACGCGCGGCAAGTAATGACAACACTCGAAAAATGAGCGTTATCGTGGCATTCATGTCCCGTATAGGCAAGCCGGTTAAAGTTATCGTCTTAATAACTGTTTGTTGGGGTCAGAGATTGTGCAGACATTTGGAAAATAGTAGTAGAGGCAACAATTGCTGATTAAGTTTATGCCTGTTAAATGCAGAAACGTCCAACAGACTAAATGCACCTAAAGTATACACTACATATCCGCACAATTACAATAAACTTGATATTGACTTTATACACAAATATTGCAAACTAATTCAAACCCATGGAACACTGGGTAAACTCTCGTCATCAAAACAACTGTAAGTCAACTTGCAACAACTGCGTATTCTTGGATCTGGCAATGTCCCTCTTGTGTTTGATGGCAATATTTTATACGTGTCCAGGAATTATTCTGACTAAATGGATACTAGAGAACACCTCCACGGTATAAAACAAAAGGGATAATTAAAAAATTAAAGATGACCTTGATGAAATCTTCCATTGCATATGTTCTGGATTCATTGCACATATTTCTATATAGTGTGCTGTCCTGTAGTTAGACAAGTGCTTCTTGGGTCAATTACATTACACGATGAGAGACTGATGACATAGATTTTTAAATTTATGAAGTAATATTATTTGTCTATAGCATTGTTTTGAGGCGGTAATCTTTAGGTTTATGAAGCAATATCCTACAACCATACACAATGATCCGTGTGTGCCCCTGTCACAATATGGCCACGTGTGCACCTTCTCGATCCACAGATCACTCTTGTTTCCCATGCTTAATTTTCATTATCCACATTTGGACTATCAATTATCAAAGTAGGTGTATTTTGATACAATTTACCGCACTAGCAATGTGTAATGTCCTCAACATTTTAACAGAATATTAAAAGATAATTCATTTCATCGTGGTGCGTTTTATCAATAAAAACAAAATTAAATGCCTACTGAAAACGTACTCAAATAATCAAATTATTGTATCTAAAATGTTTATGATAAGGATTGTAATTAAGAACAACTGACAAGAGGAACAAAATACTCGCGTATATCTTGTACAAGATTACTCTACTGAACATTATCCCTGTACATAAGTTTGTACTACTTTCTACAAATTGCTCAATATAGTTAATAAACAGAAAGTAAACAAGACTTCCTGAAAATTCATACATAAACGTTTATTCTATACAAGATCTACGAGGAGACATGACATAATTGTAACCCCAAACTTCCAACCTCTGTCTGTATACCACGACAATCCGCACATTATAATTACAGACTAACCAACATGTCCTACACGTTTCCACTTCTTGATATTTTCCCACGTCGACACATATAGTTTTGTCGCATTTCACTTCGTGTTTACGGTTCATTATAGTTACATCTCATAAATTCCCCACTTTCATCCAACTATGTGCGAGTTGGGAGAATGTTCACTCGGAACTCTTGCACTCCCCCTGCATTTCGTGCGTGCACACAAGACCAGCTTCCGCGCGCGATACAACTACATGTGGTGACCATCCACACAACACAAAGGTTTCGCTTGGATGGTTATACGAATGTATGCTTAATTATTGTGTTTCTATAATCGCTAGCAGACGCGGCTGCTGTGTTGAGGTTGTCCGACATGTTGGACAAGTGAACGTCTGACCATAACCAGAGAGGGCTGAAGGTGTAGAAGGATATGGTTAAGTCAACAGTACATCGCCGGTGTTTTCATCTGCCAAATAGTTGTGAACACAAATTTTTATTTTATACATTTCATCATCGTGTAATTGAACTGTTTTACTTCGTTTTGTTGATCTTAATATTTGTCACACTGCATAGTGTTCACTATTGTGACTATTATTCTTCATCGAGATTTTCAGCCTCAGACTGTACCCTTTACCTAGGTTTGAGGATGTTCGTCTTAAATCTTAAAAATTGGAAAACATATTCTTTTCATCAAACCCTACTTGTAATAAGTTTTGCAGTATTTCGACTAATGAAAGTTTTGTTTTATATATGGAACATTTTTTTCCAAAGGAATTATGAAACGCCGTAATAATCTGTGTTGATATTAGTGAGGTCGGAAATCTCAAATATTAAACAAACAAACGGGTTGATCAATGGAATTAAACAGGAATGATAACAAAAGAAGAAACAACCTTTTTGCACCTTCGATCTACAGTAAACCTACACTTTGGCTGTTCGTTCGTCAACTGTCCATACCGTGATGATCAGAATTTGTAAATTCCTTTCAATGGGTACACGCGGATTCAGTCTTTTTGAATATTCCTGAATAGATTTGTTTATGTTATCACACATGGTGTAGGTGGTTATTATCATGTAGCAGTCAGTACTGGCAGGTGAATGATGATGCAATATTATTGCTGATATGTATTGTGGAGATGAATATACGACGCCAGGTGTTCTCGATATAGATGGACAGAGTCAGAGTTCGGATACCGAAAGCGTGGAGGTGTCAATCAAGCGCTTGACCAGCTGTGATCGCCGTTCAAACATGTCTCGTGTGACAGTTAACATAGCAGAAAAAGTCTCTTCCTTTCAGTCTCCCCCCTGACAACTTCTTCCAGTGTATCTGGCGGTAATTATCCCCTATAGAATGGGGTGGGTCGTGAGGTACACCAATATATCTAAGTTCAACAGTGTATTGTCTACACAATAGAAGGGACTGTTGTCTCTTGAACTCAAGTGTGTCTGCTGTAGAAAAATAATAGTTAAGACAATTGTTTAGCACCAGAGAACTTTCTTCATTGCAATATACAAAGCGTGGGTCATCATTATATATTTCAGTGTATATTATTTTCATTATAATTAATTTAACTTGCAAAATGTTCCCATGAAGGCCATTTGTATTCCCAATAATAATGACCTTTCCTGGAATAATATTTTTAACTTACCTTACAGCTAGCAACATTCCTTTATTTTCAATACAGTACTTACCGCCCTGGATCTAGCAGCGCTGAGACAGAAAGTGCACACTGGTTTCGGCATAGGGTCCATGCTTCCCCGCAACATGGCTTGGTGTTTTACACACGGTTGGTCAAGACAATCAGTCCCGACCATAAGGACCGTATTTAGGTGAGCTATGTAACTCGCTGCTAGTCTTAGGGTTTCAATTTTGGAAAGTTTTCTATCTGCTGGTTCCGTTGGAATCAGAGTTCTTAGTGTGATAAAAGCAGTATTTACACTGTGTGTCCTGTCCCTCTCTCGTGCATTGGCGGCGAACCTTTGCGGAGGGAGACCATTATCCATTTCCAAATCCGCAGATGATTGCTTTCTTTTCCTGCTGGACCCATTTTTGCCTTTAGAAGTGTCGTCTGTAGAGGTACCACTTCCATTACTATCGGATAAATTTCCAGACCCTTCTTCAACTTTTGGTTTCTTGCTTTCCGAGCTCTTCTTTTTGTCATCTCCCATGTTTCCTCTTGCAAACGTCTCTCACAACAACGTTCCAAAACGTCTACACAATCTATTTACGAAATCGAACCATTCTTCTCTATATCAGATAAAAAAATGTAACACAAATTGATACAAATTCCAAAGAATTGTGACGATGCGTAATGACAGTGTTGGCAGTTCCATACATAAATATCCGTCTGAGGAAGCGCCCTCTATATGATATTAGCTTACGGTCATAGGTCAGGAGGAGGGGCTTAAGGGTAATCAATCATTTGAAACGGTGGGTGAAAACGAGAGGGCGGAGCTAAGGTTAATCACTTTGACAGACCCTTTCCTGAGGATTTTAGGGAAAATTCAAATAATGCTGATACTATCAAGGCCAATTTCTTCCCAACAATAAAGAGTGTTTCTATTTCTTTCTATTTGTCCATAAAAATAGTCTATGGTTGTGGAGTACTGTAAGCGTGTGTGGTAGTGATCCTTCACCCCGTCCTAGTGCTACTCAGTGATGGACTTGCCAGAGGTGTACTCTCATCGACTTTCACACTTCTAACTTTTGGGCCATATATCAGTGTTCTCTCCGTTACAATGCAACGAAAGCACATTCACAAAGGCATATAGATGCAAATATGTGTTCTCATCAGACCAGTAGATATGGTTTTATCATTGTTGGAGCATACGTTTTTGATGACCACTCAATCATCTAAATTTCGGGTTTGGAATCTTCTAAAGATATTTTCTGAAGGTCACACGTATAACAAATAAAGGAGGAAATGCAAGAGGTTCCTTAAGTATCATTTCAGATTATTTCAAGTTATGGCATTTCAATACATCTACTACACCTAGTTGATATACAAAATTCTTAGGTCTGCCAATAGTAATACAACGCCTAATTGATGTACTATAGGTCGTAGGTCTGCCAATCCATATACAACACCTAGTTGATGTACTGTAAGTGTGTGACCTGTCAATACATATACAACACCTAGTTGATGTACTGTAAGTGTATGACCTCTCAATACATATACAACACCTAGTTGATGTACTGTGGGTGTGTGACCTGTCAATACATATACAACACCTAGTTGATGTACTGTAAGTGTGTGACCTGTCAATACATATACAACACCTAGTTGATGTACTGTGGGTGTGTGACCTGTCAATACATATACAACACCTAGTTGATGTACTGTAAGTGTGTGACCTGTCAATACATATACAACACCAAGTTGATGTACTGTAAGTGTGTGACCTGTCAATACATATACAACACCTAGTTGATGTACTGTGGGTGTGTGACCTGTAAATACATATACAACACCTAGTTGATGTACTGTAAATGTGTGACCGGTCAATACATGTACAACACCTAGTTGATGTACTGTAAGTGTGTGACCTGTCAATACATATACAACACCAAGTTGATGTACTGTGGGTGTATGACCTGTCAATACATATACAACACCTAGTTGATGTACTGTAAGTGTATGACCTGTCAATACATATACAACACCTAGTTGATGTACTGTAAGTGTGTGACCTGTCAATACATATACAACACCTAGTTGATGTACTGTGGGTGTATGACCTGTCAATACATATACAACACCTAGTTGATGTACTGTAAGTGTGTGACCTGTCAATACATATACAACACCTAGTTGATGTACTGTAAGTGTGTGACCTGTCAATACATACACAACACCCAGTTGATGTACTGTAAGTGTGTGACCTGTCAATACATATACAACACCTAGTTGATGTACTGTAAGTGTGTGACCTGTCAATACATATACAACACCTAGTTGATGTACTGTAAGTGTGTGACCCGCCAATACATATCCAACATCTGCAGCTGGTTGATGCATCTGTAGGTATAGAAGTTGGTATGCTTTGGTCCTTTGGTCTTCCGATTGTTATGATATAATAAAACACCTCCTTAAACACCAAGCGTTTCATTCTAAATGGTCCCACTAACTATATATATATAATAAAAATGTATTTTTTTATCTTATCTGGTGTTGGTAAGACGTTGGTCAACCAAACATAGTCCCTAAACATACCCAATCAAGGAAAGTGGTGTTCTTTCCCATTCTGATACAATGCACTTCATCAGCTCCATACCCATCCATACGCTGTAGTGTGGTGTGATGTCTGTAACATGTGTAACAAGGCAAGTATCTAATTGTTCATCGTGGGTTTCATTTGTATTAAAGGAAGACAACACGAGTATAGAAGCAAGGGGACGTTAGAGAATCATTTAGAGGGAGTAATAAACACTAGCACAGCCTTATCGCGCAACGGTTGTAATCTCCTCAAAGTGCATAATAATGAGGCATTAATTAAACCAGTATTGTAGGCACTTCCTCTGTAACCCCCTACCCCCGGCGGGAGGGGGTCTCAGCAGCGCGCATGAGATACCGCCAATGATAAAGGGGGCGAATGCCGGACGGGTGAGTGAAGAAGGCGGTGCTGTAATCTAATTAAGATTAAGATCGCAATAGACGAATTGTTTCACACTACCGCAATGAGACTCATCAGATCGTCACCTTTCCATATCTTTTTCTCTCACTGTTCACAATATAATTTTAAAATACAACTCTTCCAACATATTGGGACACAGGAATTGCGTAGACTTTGTGTTACAGAGACGCAAAGTCCATAAAGCCTTCTGTCGGCTGACTGATCGAAGTTTATTATATGAACATTCGCCATGTTCAAAATAAAAATAGTGCAGATATACATTGTTCACAGTAAATTGTTCACTCAGAATGTTCACAATAACAATAGTGTAAATATACATTCAAAATAACCTGTGCACTCAATATGACAGACAGAGAGACAGAACTGACTACAATCAAATCAAATACATGTAGTTCGTTGGATAAAATATGATGCAATGATACAATCGGTATATACATATGTATGGAAAGAATTTAGAGAAATTGCTGGCGTCTTTTAAAACATTTCTCAAGAAAAGCATGCTACTTTACAACAACGAGATTTTTGATTGGTTGGAATAGAATGTTGTCCCATGCCTAATCTTAGATCGGTATAGAAATGACATTCTGGGAGAAATGGTATTCCAGATAATAATGTATTACAGAAGGATTGGTTGGTTGGTTTGTTGTTTAACGCCGCACTCAGCAGTATTCCAGCTATATGACGGCGGTCTGTAAATAATCGAGTCTGTACCAGACAATACAGCGATTAATGTCATGAACATCGATCCACGCAATTGGTATCGATTACATGCATGAACCAAGTCAGCGAGCCTGACCACCCGATCCCGTTAGTCTTCATTTTACGACAAGCATAGTCACCTTTTACGGCAAGCATGGGTTGCTGAAGACCTATTATACCCCGGAATCTTCACGGGTCTATTGCATAGGGAGCATATAGTGGAAGAAGCTACCTTCAATGTGTGCACGGAGTAGTTTCCTTGGTTTGATGTGTCCAGATACCTATCGGCTCACCTCTGTCCTGAACACATAGTTAGGTTTACTACCTAGGATATACACAGGTAAATACAATAGTTGACACACCTGAACAGAAAGTGAAGAAAACCGGGAAGCTATATAATAATGTGTGGAATCGTGTTTTAAAGAAGAGACTAGTATGTAATAACACGCCATTCAGGATAGAAGCAGATGTAACTGGAGTCTTTTGGCGAACACACAAGAGTATGTGTTTTTAGTAAAAGTACATCGGATGTGTACATTATAGCGGCCAGGAGTGTTTTCACTTCATTGTGCAGGCAGACTGGAGTGTAGGCATTGTAGTATCAGGCAGACTGGAGTGTAGGCATTGTAGTATCAGGTAGACTGGAGTGTAGGCATTGTAGTATCAGGCAGACTGGAGTGTAGGCATTGTAGTATCAGGCAGACTGGAGTGTAGGCATTGTAGTATCAGGCAGACTGGAGTGTAGGCATTGTAGTATCAGGTAGACTGGAGTGTAGGCATTGTAGTATCAGGCAGACTGGAGTGTAGGCATTGTAGTATCAGGCAGACTGGAGTGTAGGCATTGTAGTATCAGGTAGACTGGAGTGTAGGCATTGTAGTATCAGGCAGACTGGAGTGTAGGCATTGAAGTATCAGGCAGACTGGAGTGTAGGCATTGTAGTATCAGGCAGACTGGAGTGTAGGCATTGTAGTATCAGGCAGACTGGAGTGTAGGCATTGTAGTATCAGGCAGACTGGAGTGTAGGCATTGTAGTATCAGGCAGACTGGAGTGTAGGCATTGTAGTATCAGGCAGACTGGAGTGTAGACATTGTAGTATCAGGCAGACTGGAGTGTAGGCATTGTAGTATCAGGCAGACTGGAGTGTAGGCATTGTAGTATCAGGCAGACTGGAGTGTAGGCATTGTAGTATCAGGCAGACTGGAGTGTAGGCATTGTAGTATCAGGCAGACTGGAGTGTAGGCATTGTAGTATCAGGTAGACTGGAGTGTAGGCATTGTAGTATCAGGCAGACTGGAGTGTAGGCATTGTAGTATCAGGCAGACTGGAGTGTAGGCATTGTAGTATCAGGCAGACTGGAGTGTAGGCATTGTAGTATCAGGCAGACTGGAGTGTAGGCATTGTAGTATCAGGCAGACTGGAGTGTAGGCATTGTAGTATCAGGCAGACTGGAGTGTAGGCATTGTAGTATCAGGCAGACTGGAGTGTAGGCATTGTAGTATCAGGCAGACTGGAGTGTAGGCATTGTAGTATCAGGCAGACTGGAGTGTAGGCATTGTAGTATCAGGCAGACTGGAGGGTAGGCATTGTAGTATCAGGCAGACTGGAGTGTTGGCATTGTAGTATCAGGCAGACTGGAGTGTAGGCATTGTAGTATCAGGCAGACTGGAGTGTAGGCATTGTAGTATCAGGCAGACTGGAGTGTAGGCATTGTAATATCAGGCAGACTGGAGTGTAGGCATTGTAGTATCAGGCAGACTGGAGTGTAGGCATTGTAGTATCAGGCAGACTGGAGTGTAGGCATTGTAGTATCAGGCAGACTGGAGTGTAGGCATTGTAGTATCAGGCAGACTGGAGTGTAGGCATTGTAGTATCAGGCAGACTGGAGTGTAGGCATTGTAGTATCAGGCAGACTGGAGTGTAGGCATTGTAGTATCAGGCAGACTGGAGTGTAGGCATTGTAGTATCAGGCAGACTGGAGTGTAGGCATTGTAGT